GGCCAAGAACTGACGGGATCCTGAAGAAGTCGGGAGCTGAAAGTGGAGAACGGGTGGCGGTGTGTTGAAGCTCAGCCGAGGAGCAGGTGCAGAGAGGAGGCTGGGCTTTATTAAGGGAGCGATGCCTTATGATTGGAGGAGCTAAAGAAAAGACGGGTGCCGATAGGCTGGGACGGAGGCATATGATGTGATTGGCTGAGCAGGTGAGATTATGCTAGGCTTTATAACTCACTCCAAAACATGGATACTGCTATGATTAGTGGCATTTTTTTTTTTTTGACAAATATTTTTCACATATTTAATCAATTTGTGTTGTATTTTTGTGGTAGTGATAGTAACAAAGAAAAAGACGATAAAAAAGTTACAGATTTTTTTTTTTTTTTTTTTAGGCAGCTGTATGACTGTGACTGCGTGGCACAGAAATAAAGCGACACAACTCTAAATATCATTCTTGAAGAACATCCCTAGGTTACTTGCTTTAAAAAGGATGACATATCACTGAAATGCACACAGTAACTGTGTTTAATGATATTTTCAAATTTATTGATGCACTCATGGAAATAATAATGGGGGTTGGGGGAAGTGAAAATAAAATTTCTGATCATACTGTCAGTTTTTTTTTTTTTTTTCCCGCAATCGACAATTACAATAAAAATATGACAGTGATAAATCAAAATCAAAACAAAACAATAAATGCCCACCCCTACTGCAGAGATGCACAGGTAAAACCTTTTTAGCACACTAACTCAATAAAAGATTCAATATTTGGTTTGTTTTATTAAGGCGACATAAAAGAAATTGAGAAATTAATTCATGGCTTCTGACATTTACACTGTATATCCTCCTCTAACAAAAGCATATAGTGTAGAACACAGACATAAGATTAAGTTATGCTATTACAAACACCGTACACTGAATTATTCTAATATCCTAAGATAAATGTTTCACAACAAAACAGCTTATCTAAAATGTGAACATCCTAAAAGAATGCAGCAGATATAGAAAACAGATGGAGAGGACAAAAGTGGGGGAATTTAGACTTAATGCTATCTGCTATGTAACTGCCTGTACTTATGCTTTTGTGACAAAACACTTTCACACATACCCACACTCTCCTACATGCTCTATCTTACTCACCATACTCCTGCTCTACTTCTATTCTAATTTAGTCCTCTTTTTATAAAACACCATTCCATGCCTTAATCCTCTATACCAAAAGCACACAAGCATAATTCATCCTGTGTTGTTGTTTTTTTGTTGTTTTTTTTGTGCATAAGCACAACTTCACTTTGATGTAAAAATATTTCAGTGTGCCCTCAATGGAAAAAAATAAATAAATAAAAATCTGCACAGCACTTTGTATTATCCCAGATCAAACCTCTGTCTGTCATATGCAGCATGAGACGTGGGTGTGGTCAGATATTAATGACATTTAGCATGTAGAGCATTTGCAAACCCATGGTTTTCTGTTGGAACAACTCATCTCGCTGCACCTTTATCTACATACTCATAAAGCAGTTACACGGGGTTTCTACATTAAAAATTCTGTCCTAGACTCAAATTTCCAATATTCTGAGTCCTTTATGCCCATTTTAAAATTTAAAATGCATTCATTTACTGTCATTATTTTGCACAGGATTGGAAAACCCAACAGACAGGCACCAAAAGAGGACCAGGATTAAAATAAGCAAAGACAGGGCAAATAAAGAAGTGAATTAGCTATGAATGGAAGACAGAAAAAACAAAAGGGAACAATGGAAGGACATGACAGAAGGACTTTTAATGTGTATTATTGTATATTTAAAAAAAAATCAACTATAAGCATTAAGAAAAATGAGAATAACATCATACCCATACAGAATGCTTCCACTTCTAAGATCTCTAATATGTTGGTGTCTGTCCATATTGAAAAAAATGTTCAATAATGCTTGATTTTGCAGTACATTTACATCATTAACGCTCAGCCATAAAAATCCCATTTTCAACTCTGGTCATTTGTTTGAAGGAGTACATAACATAATACTAATACAGTATCCGCACCTGGCTTAGAATTGGTTAAAATTTCCGGTGCTTTTTGAAATTCTTGCCACAGAGAGCTCGCAGCACAATGTTACGCTCCCACCCCCTGTCTGTCAAAGGATTCAAAACCGTCGAATAAAAGCTGAAAACAAGAACAGAATGAAGCAGATTGCCGGGTCAGTAATAGAAAGTCTTTTATGTAGTTCTTGGCGTATCGCACATATAATGCCTACATTGTTACACTTTGCATTATACGCTTGATGATTCGCAGAACTGCGTCACGTTTTCACTTTCCAATTGTCTGCTGCAGTTCAAAAGAACCATCTCATCAGACTCATTAAAAACCTAGTAACTGAACACCAATTAAATGCTATTCAGTCTAGTTACACAGAATGGATCATGATATACTTCAGCAAGCACAAGTTTAAATTGTGCAAATATTGCAATGCTTGCCTCTTTTTTTTTTCTTCTTCTTCTTCTTCTTCTGTATTGAAGACATTTTCTCTCTAAGGACGTGTATGGGTGCATTCATGTACTCTTAATCTCTGCCTAAGATTGGAAGCCGCTTTGCACAGTTTTTAGGGTGTATCTTTGAGAAGTACACGCTTCATAAATGAGCCCGCAGAGATCCACGTCTATGATCTGTGATGTCACATTGATGTACAGCCCGAAGCTGTTCTTCTGTTTCAATGGATGTGAAACCAATGTTCTAGCCTTTATTTATCCAGGGAATCTTAGATAAGCTCACATGCTCCGCTGATATTCAGTAGCTGTACATGGATTCCACAGCCGTTTATTGCATCACGGTTCTATCGATCGACCTCAGCCTGTCGCCTTGGTGTTTATTTTTGATGGCTAAATTTGTTATTCAAATGCTAACAAAAAATGACTGACGCAGTTGTCAAAACATCAGAGCTGGATATCTCTGTCATATCGATTAAAAGCTCTGAATGCTGGGCTCGAGTAGCTAAATTACCATCGCTAATATTGGCAGTTAGTGTGGTAGAAGGTATAAGCAGGTCTATCACAATAAACAGTAGGGGGGAAAAAAATAGGGATGACTTTATTAATGATTACCATATTAAACTACCCAGTGTTTACTGTAGCTGTTACATTCCTATTAAAACCTTACATCAAGTCTGGGCAGTTATTTTTCCCAAAAGGCCACATGAGCACCTCTGGGGTTGGCTTTTGACGGATCACATGGTTTCCAATATATACATGAAATTAAACCCATAAGTAAGAAATGTATCATCTTTTGGCAACTCTGCAACTAAGCAATAGAATCTAACTCGCCACACTGATAAGCGAAATTTCAGATTCAAAACATGGCCAATTTGTTCCATTCACTATGTTCGCCACCTGGGTTCCTAAAACAAACAAAATACTCTGTCAAGGATTGGCATAAAAATTTAATTAAAGTCCTCATTACAAATGGCAAATATTGATGAATTCTGTGCTTTTAAAAACTGGCAGGCAAACCTATTTTTCCTGTCCCCTATATGGAATTAAAAAAGGAAAAAATAACTGCAACTACTGGAAACACACACACACACGCACACACACACACACACACACATACACAAAACCCAGCAGCACAAATCAAATTAGAAAGGCGGTGTTCCCAAAAAGTGCATTTTAAATAGGAGTCGTTGACCTCAGAAAATCCAGAGGGAACACGGAGTCCTTTGAGTTCAAAAGGCATTTGCTGTAAAAAGAGTTAACAAAAACATCACTGAAAATTAAGTCACCCCAAAATACACAAACTTCAGCGAATGTTATTCCATTTGAATAAACGCTGCTAAGGTTATGCAAAAATAAAATTCTAAAAACCCACAAAATGTTCAGGGACATGTATCTTTTGCAAAAGCAATTCCCAAGGTCTCATAAATCACTGTATGTTTAGTCTAATTTAAATTCACGCTGAGAGCAATGGCCATGTTTTCATAAACTAAGTATGCCACTTTAAATTTTGTTGCAAATAATAAAAATAAATTGCTAGCAGCACAGATTTCAACTGCCTTTCAAAAAAAAAAAAAAATCTCTCTTGCATTTCTGAATGTTAATTTGGTTAGCATTATTATGACTGTTAAAAAAAAGAAGCTAATATTGAATATGTTCACCAGTCTCATTTGGGTCACTTTTGATGTTTACAAACCCAATGAAGGAAAAGCGTGTGGAAGTTACAGAGGCAAGTTTATTGCAAGTTACAGAGGCAAGTGTATTTGTTGCTCAAAACATATTTTGTCCCTTTCCACATTTCCTGCTGCCTACATATTAAACAATCAATCACGTTTATTTGTGGACCACATTTTATGCATCGCAGATTTGTGGTGCATAGAAGCTGAATGCTGCATCTCTTTCTTTGGTTCTGGGGATGCAGAGCAGACCAGAACCAGAAGACCAAAGTGCTCTGGAAGGTTGATACGACTTCTTTAATGTATTGTGGTGCTGAGCCATTCGGTGATTTATTTAATAAAATAAAATAAAATCACATTAAAATATTTCTTCCTAGATACAGAGAACTGGGGTGGTCTACTCTACCTTTCCGGTTTTACGAAGATTACTATTATTGTTAATACTGAGCATGGATTTTGTAACAGCAGTAGTAATACTATATCTGGCAGATCTGGTAGTAGATTAGCTTTTCATACTGCTTTTTTAGGTTTCATAACCCCCTACTGACAATTATTCCTCATATAGACATATTTTAAGTTTTATCCTCAAACAAATGATAACTTAATTGGGGATTGAACAGTTGGAAATAGCAAGACTGTTATTTATACGCATTTAGTATTGAAATTAGTCAAGCTAACCATATCCAGCCACCAACTACCACTGGAAGATGGTGGCTAAATGTATCTAATGTTGGTGTAAAATGTGCATCTCTCAGAACTGGTGGAAAACATGACCACCTTGGCTGCATTAGGACCAGAGGCAGTTTGAGCAGCCAGTTTGTTTTAGGTTTTAACCTAATGATCCCCGTCTGAGTCTTTTCTAACTAGTCTGGACAGAGAGGGAGTTAGCTGCTGTGCTGATTACCCCGAGTCTGTAGGGCTGGGCTTTGTAGCAGTTTCCATTTCTCATTTTTTTTAGAGAAAGAATTATCCCAGATAACATAAATTCTCTTTCCTTCCTTACTGAAAAACGAAAGGCTGAAACAAAGACACACTGGGGTATAAAATTTTTAAGTACTGACCATAAGATTTGGGGCTTATAATTACAGCTCACACTTAACTTTAGCAGATAAAATCACATGCTGACACCTTCATAAGGAAATATTGCGGTGTCCTAAAATTGCCACATCTCATGTCTCAAGATCTCGTTACACCCTTAGTCACCAGCCGGTAACTTCTGTTCAGTACTTTCCTTTTGAACAAATGAGTGAGCCTACCCTTAAACAACTGTTCTGGTTATGTCACCGTTTCCTTTTTTGTCCTTTTCCCAATGAATTATACATCAGTGTGGCATCACAGATTGGGACTAAAACAATCATTTTTGGCTTCACAAGAAGGGACAGCGAAGAGCACTCACTAATGCTGAAGAAAACAAAAAAAAGAACAAAAGAATCTGCTGCTTGGAGTT